TTTATCTGTTTATCTATTAACAGTGTTTCTATTAATATACTGCGTAAATATATATATATATATATATATATATATATATAAAATTATTATTATTATATTATCATTATTATTATTATTATTATTATTATTATTATTATCATTATTATATTATTATTATTATGTTATTATTATATTATTATTATATTATATTATATATTCTTTAAGTTACAATATTATTTCACTGCTTAAATATGTTGTTCTTTATCCTGAATAAAATATTTAGTGAAGAAAAATTCTCTGCCTCTCATTATATTGACTTTTTACGACAGTATCAATTCGACACAGGAAAAACACACTAAGTTAAAAAAAAGAGGTGCCTGACGAGGATTAAATTGTAGTAGCCATTGTTTTATCTCACGTAGAAAAATAATGTTCTCTTGGACAAATAAACCGACAGCACGAACCCGGAAGCTAGATGAAGCCATCGAAGAACTGGGTCAAGAGGGACTCGAGCACTATTTTTCGAGGGTCGGGATAAACTTAAGGGACACACGAGCCTCCGAAGTGGCAATGAACGGCAGATTGTGCCGTCGGAAATAAACAGAAATCCTCCGTGGAATTGTCGAAATCAACAAGTTGCGAATCAGAATGAACGTTCGATAGGGAGAAAAAATTGGAAGCATCCGAACGGAAACGAAGCTCGCGTATGGAGCACGTTAAACGGCTCCCCGTAAGTAGCTTTGGCCCGGCGCTTCTTGTTCTCGCAGTGAATTTGAGCGCGAAACAGTTAAAGACCGAACCGGCAGAAGTCGAAACTAAAAGAAGAAATCGAGGAAAAAGGATTCGGCTGCGCCAGATATCGGCGGCAGGCAGTCGGGGATATCGAAGCGGACGGGCCGATGGATTCCGGCGATTCCTCTTCGCCCGTTTCTTTTCGGGAGGAATAGCTTCATTAGCTCCGCCGATAATTGGCTCCGTTCGTGACTCGCCTCGGCAAAACACTGCCCGATGTGTAACGTCCTTATATACCGCGAAGACCGATCCCCTAGCCCTCGCCACGTCGCGCGTCGGATTGACTTGCTCGGAAAAAAAGTATAGTCGCAATTTCGAGAGAGAGCCTCGAACGAAAGAGCTGTCTACACACACACAATTTCTCAAAATAAATTAATTTTAGTACAGAATTGTTTGCATGATATGGGAGCTCTTTCAATTGCGCACAAATCTATTGCAGTAAAAAATCACTCGTATAAAAACCTTGGCAAGTAGTATCCGAACACCCTTTAAAACACCATAACACTACCCCGATTTTGTAAAAATTAGACTAAACGACTTGAATCTCTTTTAAATGTTTGAGGGGGACTAGTTTTTCTTCAATTTCACTGTTACTTGGAATAATGAAGAGATAAAAGACTATCTTTTAAATATTTTTAATATTTAGATGAATATTTTTGAATTCTTTAGCTGAGGCTAAAACGAAAATTTAAAAAATGTGTTTTATATATATATATATATATATTGTGGTAATGTATAAGCATTCCGATAATCTCATCGGAATTGATTTTTATCTTTTAAGAATTTTTATCTTTCTAGAATTTTATTTTTCTTGTTCCAAGAAATAACAAAATTAAATAAAAGTATTCTAGTGTCATCGCACACAACAAACTGGCCCCTATAACATTTAACAAAAATTCAAGATATTTAATCCAGTTTTAACAAAG